GCCTCAAAGCACCCCTCATAGGTAAAGCTTTTGTAATTTTTTTTTTTTCTGGACGTCCGGGTTTTCCCAGACGTGAGTGTGGCTGGATGTCCAGCTGTGTCCGGATCCACGTCTGGCATAGCCATGCTATCTCCACACTTGGGACTTCAATGACTGAATCTGATGACAACTATGACCAGATTCATTCAAATTTCAAAACCACATTCCGCCCAAAAGCCATATAACTGCACAACAGGAATGCTGCAGGGAAGCCAGGTGCCTTCTTGGAGGATGAGGTCATATTAAGGTCCCTACGAGTCTTAAGACGATACACACACTTGGACTTTTGACGACAGAATCCAACAGAGATTACAACCAGATTCATTCAAACAAGTCCCCAAGACTAGCTTACTGTTTTTATGACTGAATCTGGACCGGATTACGACCAGATCAGTCAAAAGAAACATCCTTGCAAGGAATAACAGTGACTTGGACGAGTACAAAAGAAGATCCCTGAGACTGTCCAGTTGATGTAGCTCAGTGGTTAGAGCACCGGTTGGAAACGCGCATTGCGGTATAAGGTTGCGGGTTCAAAACCCAATCTTGCGCATGGCCACCGGCAGGGCGTTAGAATGCCGCATGGCTGGACGCGCGTTGTGGTATGAGGTTGCGGATTCAGAACCCAATCGCAGCCTTGCGCATGGCCACCGGCAGGGCGTTAGAATGCCGCATGGCTGGGCACACACCCCCTTGGGCTGACGCATGGTAACCTATTACAGACACTGCCTGCACACCACCCAAGGGGTTGTCCATGGTGATGTATGTTGGGTCTTGATTCTGTGTGGGGTGCTTGTCGCTGTTGCTTGTGGTTGTTCTGTTGATCTCCCCAGTCTGGCAGATCACACACAGGTGTCGTTTGCAATGGTTGCTCAAATGGTAAAGCCTTCAGGTCACATGTCATAGATCATGGGTTCGAGTCTGGCTTCGGACTTTGGGGGGGTTCTTGTCCAGCTTGGCCTGTCATCTCTTCAACGAACACATAGTTCCCTCTACATAGTACTGCACATCTCTGGCCTTCGGGCACATATACATCTCGCTATACTGTTACACAGAGCACGCATAGCCTTAGGGCAGACATGAACATGGCTCGTGAATACATATAGACATAGCCTACAGGCTCATACAAAGACATACATAGCCTCTGGGCAAACATATACACACAACTATCATACCGGGCTGGGGGGTTCTATCAGGTATATGATGGGGTCTACCCATGCATCGCTTAGCTCTGGGGTAGGGTAGGGATATAAGTCGCTCCGGCTAGTCTGAGTTCCGCCTAGCCTTGGGTATTAGGGGAAGGACGGAAGGATGTGTCCGTGGGCGCTGGCTTGCCTTGCTTAGGTACTCCTGCTGGGTAGACTCTCTGAATTGGGCCTATAGAAGACTGCATGAGCCTGGCGTCCGATGTTCCCGTGCAGCAAGGTTCATCCACTTCCGCTTCCACTAGGGCTGGGGGGTTGGCTCAGCCTTGGTGCTTGTCACTGCCATCTGGTCCAAGTTGCCCTCGATACTGGTAGGGTGATGGTCCTGAGTGCTGGTCACACTGAGGTAGGATAGTAGGGACAGGGGTTGCGCTAGGAGTATTAACGTGGGGATGGGTAGGGTAGTAGGGTAGGTAGCCTATCCTGTCAGGGACAACAATTGGCTGCTGCTGCCAGCAATCACTGCAGGTCTGGTCCGTGGTCTCTACAACACCCTGGGCTTTTATAAAAAGAAAAAAAGAAGAAGAAGAAGAAGAAGAAGAAGAAGATCCCTGAGACTATACTCAAACTTGGGATTTTCATGACCAAATCTGACTGCGATTCCAGCCGAATTCAGTCAATATGGTCCCTAAGACACTATGCTCACACACTAGGACTATTATGACTGAATCAGATCACAATCACGACCGCATTCAGTCAAAAACGTAAAAGCACATTGGACTTCAACAACTGAATCTGACTGCAATTCCAGCCCAATTCAGTCAAAAAAGTCTTTAAGACACTATGCTCACAATCTAGGACGCTCACGACTGACTCCGATGGCGATCACAACCGCATTCGGTCACAAAGCGGAGTCCTAGTGTGATCATGCCCTTCAGGTAAGAGAACTCCCAGACCACATAGGTCTCTAACAACAAACACCCTTGCTGTGCCCACAGACGCATGGGGCAATGGAGGTGGAAGTCCGGTTCCCGCTTTCATACACCCTCCCCTCCTCTTCCTCATATCTCCACATACATCCATCTCAGTGGCGCTACTGCCACTGTTCGTTTTTCATTACAGCAACAACAAAAAGAATTGCTCATCTGATACATATCGATCACGCCGCCGATTTCCAACAAATTGATCACACGGCGTCTCCGTTTCGAATGAAGCAAAAGACGATTTGATACGTCACAGTGTTCAGCACCATATCAATCGAGCCTTGGTTTCCGAGATAGCAAAAGATGATTACACTTAAGTAATCTGCGAGGAATCAATCGCGCCTCGGTTCCAATGCAGCGAAGGACAACTTGCTGCGACTGCACAGTCTTCATCAAAATATCGATCTCACCTCCATTCCTAAGCCAGTGAAAAGATTATGAAAAGATTATCCTGTAACAAATCGATCGCAACGGCGTTTAAAATGCGGCAAAAGATGATTACAGTTTCCTAATTGCACCCCGTCTCCGTTTCAAATGCAGCAAGAGACGATTCGCCACTTCACAGCCTTCAGCAACATATCGATCGCGCCACCGTTTCCATTCTGCTAATCTGCAAGGAATCGAACGCAACTCTGTGTCTAACGCAGCGAAACACGATTTGCGGCTACTGCACAGTCTGCATCAACATATCGATCTTTCTGCTGTTCCTAAGACAGTGAAAAACGATTACAATTTGCTAATCTGCATCAAATCGACCGTGATGCCATTTGAAATGCAGCGCCAAAAGACAATCTGCAACTTCACAGTCTTCAGCGACATATCAATCTTGGCTCCGT